TTGGGTCCTTGTACTTTCAAGGCAGGCGGTGGAACCTCTGAGCTAAACCCTGGCCCTCTGTGTTTTTTTGAGATGAGGTCTCACCATGTATTTCAGGCTGGCCTTGAATTTGTAGCAGTCCTCCTGCCTCAGCCTCCCAAGTGCTGGTGTTACAGGCATGCACCACCATGACTAGCTTTAGGTCTTTTTAGTTCATCTTGTTTTTGTTTGTTTGTTTCCTTTTTGAACCAGGATCTCACTGGCCTTGAACTCACTATGTAGCCCAGTTTGGCCTGAAACTCAAGGTGATCTCTTGTCTCAGCCTCCTGAGTGCTGGGATTACAGGAGTGTGCCACCACACCCATTTTAGTTCACCCTCTGGCAGGCCCTGTGTGTGTGTGTGTCCTCTCTTGGGAAGGCGTGTGGCCCCTTCTACACCATCAACTTCTTAGCGTCTGAGGCCATGCAGCTCCCATGTGACAGGTGGCTGTAAGACCTGAAGCCAGCGCTCTGACCCACTGCCACCAGCCGGGGGTGTCCCCAAACACCTGCACACATGCACATCTGTGGCCTCGTGAGTGACAGCCTCTCTTCTCTCCCCAGCTGTCTTTGCTCAGCTGGCTTCTGGGCCTCATGAGACTGTCCGCCCTCAGGGAGCACCTGAGCTTGGAGCACGGGCCCCCCTGCACTGAGCAGCAGCCCAAGGCCAGTGCGAAGCTGGACCACAAGGTGAGCAGCCATACCTGTGGGCCTCTGACAGCCCTGCCACCACTGCACACAGCAGAGTGGGCAGGGCAGTGTGCAGCGCAGCCTGAGGGCTTGTGGCTTCCAGTCCAGACAGAGCCCAGCGGGGCTGTGCTGTGAGGAGCCACTCCACTAGTTATCTCCCCTAGCCTATAATTGGTGCCTTCCTGAGCAGCATAGCCACAGGTGCGGCCAGTGCATAGGTGTGCCGGTGAGGGGCCACCTGGCTCACTCTTGTGCCCTCACCTGGCTTGGTTAGCTGGGGAGCCGTCCTTACTGCACAGTTTGGGGTGGGGGCTGAGAGTGTGTTTAAAAGAGGTGCAGTGGCCAGGCATGGTGGCACACCCTGTGATCCCAGCTCTCAGGAGACTGAGGCAGGAGGATCCCTTGGAGTTCAAGGCCAGCCTGGGCTGCACAGTGAGGTCGAGGGCAGCCTGAACTATGTTGTGAGATTATGTCTCAGAAAACTGAAAAGAAAGAAAGAACATCTAGCTATAAGAAGTGTCCTCTTTTTCCTTTTTGTGGGGGCACATCTGGGTCTGACCTCCCTGTTTTCGTCCAGTGACTGCTACAGGCTCAGTTCTTGGCCTCCCCCCAGTTCTTCCTGATTGACTTTCCAGACATCGCCCATCTTCTCTGAAAGCTGAGCTTTTGCAAAAGTTAGGAGTGAGGTAGCCCGGGGCCAGGAACGGTGAGGTCTCTGGGATGAATGGCAGGGCAGGGTGGTGAGTATAAGGGCTTCACAGCGGGCACCAAAGGCCCAGCTCCCTGTGGTACAGGGGACCATCTTCAGGGGCTTCTCTGTGCCAGGAGATGTGAATGGAGATAGGCATCTTACTAAATTCTAATTCCCGGGATTGGTTTTGGTGATGTAGAAGTCCAGCCTTTGGGCACTGCTCTGCAAATCAGATAAAGGAACTAATTACTTAACACAAAGGAACTATTAAGACATGTGATCACCCTCAGGTGCATGGGCCCCTTGCTAAGCACCAGGTCAGCGATCTTTCCACCAAGCTAATATTAGTGCATTTATGAGGCCACAGCCTCTCAGGAGAGTGGGAGCATCTACGTGCCTCTTCTCCTATGCCAAGTAGTTTTCCCGGGAAGCAGGGGCTGGTGGGGAGGCTGCCAGTGGGGCCTCAGAGGAGGCAGGCCCAGCCCCAGGAGGCTGAGCTGACGTGAAATGCGCCTGTGGTCCGCTGCCATGTTGGAAATGTCTGATTGGGCCTGGAAACTTGAGGGGCCAGCGTGTCTTTGCGGAGCACCCCAAAATCAAAGCTTGGGTTGGGGAGAGGAGGGAGTGAGGCAACTGCAGCAACTTGAGATTTTGCTTCCCACCAGGCAGGTGGAGCAGAGACAGCAGGGCTGGGGAGTTCTGTACCCCGGGCTTTGGGCTGTGCTGCCGGGCTGGGTGTGCCAGAAGCAGGTGAGTGGGCCCGCTCACCTCGGCCCACTGACTCCTCATTAGACCTGAGCACATTTCATCTTCAAAGACGCTGGGCTACTCAGCAGCCAAAGGAACGGTGGCGTCACTGCTATGTTTTACAGGGAGTGGAGGTCTGGCTAGGGCTGAGCCTTTCATCCCTAGAGCTCAAAGTCTTTGCTTTTTTTTTTTTTTTTGCCCCTTGAGGACCCTGAGGAAACTGAGGCCAGAGTTAGCTCGGCCTGAGGTGACCTAGTGTGAAGAAAATGGATATTTTCCCAACCCTAGCGGCTGCCATGAGGAGCCATCTGCCCATCCCCCGGCCCCATTCCCTCCTGTCGGGGAGATTTCCTGCCCCAAACTGCAGGTCACAGGCCTCCTCCAGCCCTGCAAATAAACATTCCCTGGGTTTTCTCCCTGGGCTCAGTCTCCCCACCCTTCTCTCTGCCTCAGGCGCTGGCCCAACCTCTTCCTTCCCTCTGGGAAGAAGCTCAAGACATGGGGTGACTTTGTCTGAGTCCATTATCTGGACCGTGGGCACCGCTGTGTCCCTCAGCTTTGTGTTCTGTTGATGATGGATGGGTGGGTGGATAGGTGAATGGGTGGGTGGATTGTCCTCTCTCCTCTCTCTGTTTTCTGTACCCCATTCTGGCCATCTGTCTTCTTGTCCCCATTCTGGAAACCCCCCTCCCTCTGCAGATCCTTGATTTCATAAGGTCCTTGTGTTGTTAAGCCCACAAGAGTGTCTGGCACAGGCTCCTGTGGAGCCCAGGCGTCGGAAGTTACCTGTGTGACAGGAGAACCAATCGCAGGGCATTGTTGGTAATTATAAGTTAGGAGGTGTGTGCCTGGGAAAGCTAACCACCAAGTCCTTGAACAAAAGAGGCAACTGCACTGGCTTGGCTCTCTGTGGGGGTGGGGAGCAAGTGGCAGAGCTGCAGGGTAAGTGGGGACAGGCAGGGTCCTGCCCAGGCTGACTGTCCTGGCTGGGTCAGTCACCTAGCAAAGCGCTGCAGAGCTTGTGTGGAAGATAAGAGCTTCAGGGACTCCTGCTTCCTAGGAAGCGGATTAGAGCACTTGTACCATTTTAAAGTGCTGAGCTAGCTGGGTACATGCACTGGCATGCGCTGGAGTCCCAGCTACCAGGAGGCTGAGGCTGCCAGCTCAAAAAGAGGGAAGGGAGAAAGGAAAGGAGGAAGGGCAGACGGACACCCTGCTGGTTGATGATGACCCTGGGTTTGCCTGGCTGGAGTTGGGCTCACACAGAGCGAAGATCATCGGGATAGGAGGAAGCTTGGCATCTGGCGCCACTCCATGAGAGCCAGGTGGGAGGGAACCTCTGCAGAAAGAAGCTGTGCACTGAGACCTGAGCACCTTCTGCAAGAGTGCCTTCCCCACTTGGCACTTTCCTCTTGGCTTCAGGCACATGACAGTTGCATGATTTGACTCCAGAAACTGATTTTTTTTTTTGGCAGTTCTGGGCAATGAACCTGGAGTCTTTCCTTGCACCATGCCCCTAGCCTTCTAATTAATTGGTTTGTTTTGTTTTGAGACAGGGTCTCTCTATGTACTCCAGGCTGACCTTGAACTCAGTAGCCCAGGCCAGACTCGAACTTGCCATGATCCTTCTGCCTTGCCCCTTGAGTAACTCAGATTACAAACATGCACCACTGTGCCTGGCTATCTTGAATCATTTCACTCCATGCGCCCTGGGCACCAACTCAGCGCCCTCAGCCCGGAATGAGTGTTTCCTGGGTGTCTCGCTTCCTTTTACCCGACAGTGTAAACTGTGTGTGGCTGTATTTGGTCCCATCGATCTCATATGGTGTTTCTGTTTGCCACCTTTTACCTGTCAGTTTTTGCTTTTTCCCTGTGTGTGTGTGTGTATGTGTACGTGTATATTCTGTGCTAGTGTACATATATACATGCACTGACATTTCGTATTAAGTACTTTTTAAAAATTTTTGTGGTGCTGGGTTTCCAAGCCAGGGCCTGGAGCATGCTGAGCACACACTCCACTGCTGAGCCACACCCCCAGGCTGTGCTGTATTGCTGGGAGTTTTTGTTCCTCATTTTGTTCTCTGTTGATGTCCCCCATGGATAGCACATGGGCTCTATGGAGGGCTGTTCATCTCTGACCATTAGCCAAGCCCGGCCTGGACACAGGTGGACTTGGGGTTCCCTCCTGAATCTGATCCTGAGGCCTGGGGACACCCATTTATGAGGCAGAGCCTTTGTGAGAGTTGACTTTATGGGGAGTTTGTCCCCGAGCACAGGCAGCCTGCAGAATCCGTGGGGCCCGTGAGCGTGAGCAGCTCTGCAGCGGGCGTGGCCACATGTATCTGTGAATACCTGCTGCACATCTCCAGTAAACCTTGTGGTGTGAACTGCGTGTCAAGAGTTGGCAAACAAGTTTTGCTGCTTTTGCTCAAGTTGCCGGGACTGCAGGCCACAGCGGTCTGTTCTGTGGCTGCCAGGTGACCCTGCAGAGAGCCACCTTCGTGGGAGGCTGTGGCGAGGATAGACAGCCGGGCCAAGGGTGCTCCCAAACCAGATCCAGAAAGGGAATGTGTGTCTCCTCTTGCATGGCTGGATCACAAGCCCCTCACCCTGTGTCTCCTGCAAGACAAGAGCAGCCTGGAGCTCCCTCATCCCCTCGAAGTGCCTGTCCTTTTCCTCCTGACCCTCACTTGGCACCGTGGGGACAGCTCTGCCCCAACCAGGCTGGAGACCTGGGTCAGGCCAAGGTTAGGAGCCCTGGGAGGAAACTACCTGGTTTGGGGAACAGAAAATAGATGTTAAGGACCCCTGAGATCCTGGCCAGCTGGTCTGTGGTCACTGATGTCTTACTTCCGCCAAGATCTGAGCTGGACATCTCACACACAAACCTCAAAAGCAAGTGTCCAGCTCCACTGTGACCCCAGAACCAGGCTTCTCCGCATGTATGGGAACAGGGACAGGGAGATGGGATTAACTGAAGGCAGACTGGGGCCTTCGGTGGCTTTTGCTCAGGTGGCCAGCTCTCTGCCTCACCCCAGCCAGGCTTGGCCTTCTGGGGACCCCTTTGGGGTTTCTCTACCCAGATCACTCATCAGCTTCTTTTAACTGGGGGAAGGTTGAGATAGGGTCTTGCTGTGTAGCCCAGGCTGGCCTTGGACTCATGGGGGTCCTCCTGCCTTGGTCTCCTGAGTGTTGGGATAGGGGCCACCTGCCTCTTGCCACTCTGGAGAAGCACAGCTGTCCTACAACATGAAGGGCAAGAAGCAGCAAAATCTTGGGGAAACCAGAGAGGGAGGAAAAGAGGAAGTGTCGGCTGCTCTGCAACCTTGAGCTTTAGCTGCTCCCTCATGCAGCCCCGTACCTGCTTGTGCAGGTGCACCCAAAGTCCTTTGATCTCTGGATCCCTAAAGGAGCTGGATCTTCCAGGCTTGATTCCCTGGACTTGGGGTCTTTAGTCTTGCTGGCCCTCCTTGTCCCCACTGCAGAATCTGTGGGGCCTGTGAGGAAGACAGAGAGGGAGGGTGCCAGGTTTGCAAGCACACAGACCGGAATGGACTACCTA